GAGTTAAACGTGTGTTAATTGATCCAGGTAGTTCGGCCAACATCATTCGATCAAGGGTTGTAGAACAACTCGGCCTGCAGAACCAAATCGTGCCTACGGCTCGAGTGTTAAATGGATTCAGCATGGCTTGTGAAACTACTAAGGGAGAAATAACGTTACCAGTAAACACAGTCGGAACCATCCAGGAGACCAAGTTTTATGTGATCGAAGGGGACATGAGATATAACGCCCTGTTCCAGCGACCGTGGATCCACAACATAAGGGTTGTGCCCTCGACCCTTCACCAAATGTTAAAATTCCCAACACTGGAGGGGATTAAAATGATCTGCGGGGAGCAACCCTCCGCGAAGGAAATGTTTGTCGTCGATGAAGTAATTCCAATATCAATACTCTCATCGACAAAGGAGCCAGATTCGAAAGCAAAATAGGAAGCTAAATAGCAATCACCGATGCCGGTCTCGACCTAACTAGACAAGTAGGGGACTGACGAAGATGATGATTACGGGGTTCCTCGATCCTTCATAGTCCTTGATGATACCGACGCTACCAAATCAACGATCGAAGGGCTGGAGCAAGTCATACTGATCGAACATCAGCCCGATCGAAAGGTATACCTGGGCACGGGGTTAACTTTCGAGCTCAGAAACAAACTCATTCAATTTCTTATAGCTAATATGTATTGTTTTGCGTGGTCCCATCTCGACATTACAGGGATCCCACCGGAGATCACCACTCATAAACTGAGCATGGATCCGAAATTCCATCCGGTGAAGCAGAAAAGGAGACCCCAGTTCGAGATCAAGCATGCCTTCATCAAGGACGAGGTAACTAAACTCCTTAAAATAGGGTCCATCCGGGAAGTCAAATAACCGGAATGGCTAGCAAACGTAGTAGTAGTCCCTAAAAAGGGAACAAACTGAGAATGTGTGTGAATTACAAGGATTTAAATAAGGCATGCCCCAAGGATTCTTTCCCTTTTCCTAACATGGATCGTATGATCGATGCCACGGCCGGCCACGAAATCCTCAGCTTTCTCGATGCCTATTTCGGGTACAACCAAATACGAATGAACCCAGATGATCAGGAAAAGACCTCCTTTATCACTAAGTATGGCACATACTGCTATAACGTAATGTTATTTGGATTAAAAAATGTTGGTGCCACTTACCAACGCCTAGTGAACCGGATGTGCAAAGAACAAATAGGGAAATCTATGGAAGTTTACATTGACAATATGTTAGTTAAGTCCCTGCGAGCAGAGGACCATTTAAAGCATTTGCAGGAAACCTTCAGTATATTGAAGAAGTACAACATAAAGCTGAATCCGAAAAGATGCTTGTTCGGAGTCGAATCAGGTAAATTTCTCGGATTCATGGTATCCAACCGAGGAATCGAGATCAACCCCGACAAGATCAAAGCTATTGAGGATATCACGGTAGTTGACAATGTGAAGGCCGTACAAAGGCTAACCGGGTGCATAGCTTCCCTGGGTCGATTCATCTCGAGGTCCTCTGATAAGAGTCATCGATTTTTCTCGTTGCCTAAGAAGAAAAATAACTTCACATGGACCCCAGAATGCCAGCGGGCCTTGGAAGAACTTAAGTGATACTTATCGAGCCCGCCACTGCTTCACACACCAAGGGCAGACGAACAACTATACTTGTATTTGGCAGTATCGAAGATAGTGGTAAGTGGAGTCCTAGGTCGGGAAGAACAAGATACGTAATTTCCGATTTATTATGTTAACCGGACCTTGGGTGAGGCCGAAACTAGATATCCCCACCTAGAACAATTGGCGCTCTCTTTGCTAAGTGCCTCCAGGAAATTGAAACCGTACTTTCAATGCCACCCTATATGTGTTGTGACAACTTACCCATTGCAAAATATAATGCATAAACCCGAACTCTCGAGACGATTGGCCAAATGGGTCGTGGAAATCAGCGGGTATGATATTGAATATCGACCCCAAACAGCCATTAAATCTCAAATTTTGGCAGATTTTGTGGATGACTTCACGTCGGCTCAAATACCCGAGGTCGAAAGAGAGTTGTTAGTAAACTCGGGGACGTCTTCGGGAATCTAGGCCCTCTTTACGGACGGTGCATCGAACGCAAAGGGGTCCGGACTTGGCATCGTACTGAAGCCACCCACATGCAACATAGTTAGACAATCCATTAGAACTGTGAAATTGGCTAATAACGAGGCCGAATATGAGGCCATGATTGCAGGTCTCGAACTGGCCATAATCTTGGGGGCAGAGGTGATCGAAGCTAAGTGTGACTCCCTCCTTATGGTGAATCAAGTTAACGGAACGTTCAAAGTCAGAGAAGAACGAATGCAAAGGTACCTATATAAGTTACAGGTAATGTTACATCAGTTTAAAGAATGGACTTTGCAACACGTACCTCGAGATCAAAATAGTGAGGTCGATGCCCTTGCAAACTTAGGGTCGCTGGTCGAAGACGACGAGCTCAACTCGGGGGCAGTTGTACAGCTCATGAGGTCAGTAGTAGAAGAAGATCACGCCGAGATAAACTCCACATGCTTAACCTGGGATTGGAGAAATAAAAACGTAGAGTATTTGAAGACCAGGAAACTTCCCTTAGATCCAAAAGAATCGACTGCCCTACACACAAGTCTGATTCAGCTTGTTCAAGGACGGAACCTTGTTCAGAAGAATGTTCGATGGCCCATTAGTAATATGTATGGGACCGGGAGATACCGAGTACATTCTGAGGGAAGTTCACGAGGGCACTTGAGAAAATCATTCAGGCGCCGATTCATTGGTTCAAAAGGTGATCAGAGCCGGCTATTACTGCATCGACATGGAAAAAGATGCGAAGGAGTTCGTTCGAAAATGTGAAAAATGCCAAAGATATGCTCCAATGATTCACTAACTCGGGGAACTGCTGCATTCGGTCTTGTCACCATGTCCATTCATGAAGTGGGGAATGGACATCGTCGGCCCTCTTCCATAGGCACCGGGTAAGGCTCAATTTATCTTATTTATGACTGATTATTTTTCTTAGTGGGTTAAAGCGCAGGCATACGAGAAGGTTAAGGAGAAGGAATTCATCGACTTCATTTGGGACCACATCATATGTCGGTTTGGGATTTTGTGTGTAACAACGGGAAACAATTTATCGGCAACAAAGTGACCAAGTTCCTCGAAGATCATAAAATCAAAAGAATCTTATCGAAACCTTATCACCCTAGCGGGAACGGGCAAGCCGAATCGACCAACAAAACTATAATCCAAAACCTTAAGAAAAGTTTAACCGACGGCAAAAGGAAATGGAAGAAAATCCTGCCCGAAGTCCTTTGGGCATACCATACGATTGCGAAGTCCAGTATTGGGGCTACTCCGTTCTTATTTGTTTATGGTGCCGAAGCCCTAATACTGGTCGAAGTTGGGGAGCCAAGTATCAGATTCTGATATGCAATAAAGGAATCAAATGACGAGTCCATGAATACGAGCTTGGAGCTATTGGATGAAAGGCGTGAAGCCGCCCTCGTTCGATTGGCTGCCCAAAAGTAACGGATCGAGAGGTATTACAATCGAAGGGCAAACCTTCGATACTTCAATGTCGAGGACTTAGTACTAAGGAAGGTCACACTAAACACCCGAAATCCGAACGAAGGGAAGTTGGGTCCGAACTGGGAAGGACCGTACCAGATTCTCGAGGTCACCGGGAAAGGATCCTATAAGCTCGAAATGATGAACGGAGAACAACTACCGAGCAATTGGAATGTAACTCACCTAAAATGATATTACTGCGAAGGTACGACCCCATTTATTTCCTTTTATTTCCTTTTATTTTGGACTAACACTTGCAGGTGATTGACAAGAAGCGGCACAAAGTTTTAGGTCTGAAAGCACGCGTTGCACTCTTTTTTCCTTAGATCGGTTTTGTCCCAAATGGGTTTTGTGGCAAGATTTTTAACGAGGCAATAATGGATCGTGCTAACACAGGATCAAAGACCGATTAAGAATCGGTGTCGAAGATCGCATTAACAGTATCCGAGATTCCTCTACAATCAACCTCGAATACTAGGGGTACTACCCTCGGATATGCATTACCTTCGGATATCAACTTTAGCGAGGAAATTACATCGTAAAGAAAGGATCTCGATAGGTAGGATTTATTGTAAGGGCCAAACGGTCAAATAAACCATGCCCACATAGATTGCTCGAGCCCTGACATAAAACATGTACGCATGTATAATTGTTTTGTACAAGAATAAAGAGAAGTACTTTCCTTGCAATCATCTTATGTAAAAAAAATTTCCTCTTTACATCCCTTAAAGAATTTCGTACTTCCGGTCTCCTAAAGGTAACGAGCTCAAGGGCCGCTTATGATCGAGTACGAATGATCACTCCCTCACTTGGGGATTGCCGTCGGAATATAAACTCGAACGGCCCAAGTCATTAGGCCTTGGGGGAATAAGACCTATTAGGAAACCTCCCGGTTTTTGAAGCCCACGGCCACCCCACTCGGGGACTGTTACTTGGGCAAGCCCGGATAACTCGGGAAAGAAAGTCCAATGGGCAACTCCTGAACTAAAAGGCTACGACCATATTAACACGGCTCGGAGACGTCCTAAACCCGTAACAAAAACTAGGCCTTCGAAAAAGAATAATTTTCATAACTGGTTCTAAAAGCTACCCTCGGCAAACTATAATCTTGGCTACCTACTTTGGGAAACGGTTTCCGGTAACACCAAACCCCCAAAACACCTTAAAACAGAGTAATGTAAACGCAAGGTTTGTTTGAACTTTCAAACATAACCTAAGTTATTTTATGCTAAGGCATTCCGGCCTTTATGAATACAAGTAATAGAGCAAAGGGAAAATTTGAAAGCCGAAAGGGAAAGAAAGCCTTATATATATATATATATAATCTTTTTACAAAGGCCAGAATGGCCCGATATAGAAATTTACAATGGCCAAAACGGCCTCAAAAAGATGCAAAAAGCAAAAAATAAAAACATCTAAAGGCCTAAGTGGTCTGGTCCTCATCGAGGGCAGCGTCTTCATCCTCGAGATCTTCCCTGCCTTCAAATTCGGTTAAGCTCTCGGAATCTTCCTTGGGAAAATCCAGCTTTCGGGCCCTGGCTTCTTCTACTTTGGCATTCTCGATTTCCGCTAGTATGTCGAAGCTCTGAGCATGGACTCCCTTGAGGGCTTCCCTTCGAGATTGCCACCTTACATGCTCCACCATGCTTTTGTACTTCGCCTAAATCGCTTCGACATCAACCTTGAATAGGGCCACTTTAGCATCAGCCTTGGTATTGGCCACAACCACCTCTTATCTGACCGCCTCGAGTTCCTTGGCCAAACTCTCTTGACCAGAAATGGTCGAGTTTAGCTCAGATTGGAGCTCCTCAATCTTCTTGGCCTGCACCAAGGTTTTCTCTTTTGTAGCCCGAAGTTGGGCCTCGGCCGACGCCAGTTGTGCTTGGACAGCTTCCTTTTCCAAGGTTATGAGATCCATATTTTTCTTGAACTCCTCGACCTTAGCTTGTATCGTGTCTACATGCGCCTGGAGCTACCCGATTTGTTCAAGCCTTTGTAGAACCTGCGGGATCGGATCGTTAGCCACTGAGTCCAGTTCGTTGTCACTATCTTGAAGTACTTGATTTACCTGCTTGGCCCACTCGACATGCTCCTTCCGAGCCGCTTCTAATTTGGCCTGAAGTTTCTCACTCAAAAGCTTATAAGTATCTCTCTTCTCAGTAAGCTCCCGAACCTCGACCTCGTGTTGGGCTAACTCCTCTCGGTATCGGAGGAAAATCTCATGGTGCAGTATCGAGGCCAACAAGCATAAATAAATGTGTTAGGATTATTTGCAACTTCAAATTTAAAATACATAATAAAGGGACACTCAAAGTTATAAGATTCAAAGCTTGTTGAGCTTCATTGAATAGGCAGGGAGCTTCCACCGCTGCCATCATGGCTTGGTCCTCTTCGGTCACCAAGCACTGAAGGTAGCTAGCGACCCCCACGGGGGCAGAGAAAACTAGTGCATCCTCCAGTACAGAGAAAACTATTGACCGCCTTTGGTCAGGGTTAACGCTTGGGGCCGGGAACCGATCCACCAACCTTAGGCTCGAAGAAGACCCACTGGCCCCGATGATGGTACCTTCTTTAGCACCAGCAAGTCACCAAGCCCAGTGATGTCCTCTGAGGCAGTGGACTCTAACCCATCCAAGAAGTTGTGGATATTTGTCGCCCCCTGAGGCCCCTCGTATGAATGACTTTCTAGCATACCAGCCTCATGGATCAGGGCATATGAGAATTGAGGAGGCCTGGTAAGGTCAGTCGCCCCAAGCGCATCTTTCGGGGCACCTTCCTCTGCTCGAGAAGTGTCGGCCCCGGTCTCCCTCTCGAATCCCCTAGCTCAGGGAAAAGTAGCCGCACCCCGTTCCTGTTCGGAGATCTCAGCCAATGCCTTCTCAACAGCTTCCCTAGCTTGAGGCAAAGCAGTTCGCACCCTAGCCACTAGCTCGAAATTGTCATCTTCTTCTTCTTGTTCGGATTCATCCCTCAGTCGGTGGATTGAGTCCGATGGGAGGGCCCTGATGTTTTCTTTGGGTTTGCGCGCTTGCCTCATTTTCAGTCTCTGCTTCACCGAGTTCGGGGATCTCGGGGCCCTTTTTTCTTTTCATCTCATCAACCTGCCTCGGGGCAGGGGACGCGAGAGGCACATCCTCATCACCGGATGGAGGCCTCTGTCACGGCCCAAAATCCTACCACAGGCATCGTGATGGCACCTAGTCTAAGACTAGGTAAGCCGATTTCAATTACATTTTGAAGCCATTTTTTTTTAAGTAATAAAAACTAGCAGCGGAAATAATTACGATATACAACCTCCCAAGAGTGGTAGTACTGAGTCACGAACTCTAACTGAATACATGGAATGATCATGAGGACCGAATACACAATACTGTTTGATTACAAATTAACAGTACAATAAAATAAAAAGACTCCAAGGGACTGCGACGACCAAGCAGCTCTACCTTGAATCCTTACGATCCCTCTTTAACTCTGCTCAAGTCCGATATCTCCAATACCTGGCTCTGCACAAAAATGTGCAGAAGTGTAGTATGAGTACACCATGATCGATACCCAGTAAGTATCAAGACTAACCTCAATGGAGTAGAGACGGGGTACAGTCAAGACACTCACTAGTCTAATAACCTGTGCAATATAATATACAAAATAATAGGAAACAAATAATAATAAGGGCAGGATAAAATAAACAGTTATATGCACAACAGACAACAAGTACCATTAATATTACTCAACAATTAATAAACACAATTACACCCAATTAAATCAAGTCCTTCAAATAAATGTCTTTCACATATAATTCTTCTAGATAACTCTATTTTAAATATAATTTTCTCAAATAATTATTTTTCAAATATAATTTCCTCAAATAAATATCTCTCAAATACAATTCTTTCATATAATACTTTCTAAGTAAAAATCCTTCCAAATAAATATTTTAAATATAATTCTTTCAATTAAAAAGTCACCATGTGACACCTCATTTCATAATTATAAAAATACGAGTCTCAGCCTATTTTCATATTTTTCTTAAACACGGGTCTCAACCCATTTTCATATTTCCACGGCACCTCGTGCCCATAATTAAATCATCATATTTTCCCGGCACCTCGTGCCCTCATTTCATATCACAGCTGCATGGACAATTCTCGTGCCAATTATCATTATCATTTCTCAATTTACTACACAATAATTCCCAAAACTTTAATTCAATGAATTTTTGTACGTATAAGCCCGAGTACGTACTCGTCACCTCGCGTACACGGCTTTTTACATTTCACAAATGGAACATAAGACTCAATGCCTAAGGGGTAATTCCCCCACTCGAGGTTAAGCAAGACATTTACCTTTTTGAAGTTAGGCCGATATTCTAAAATAGCCTTCTTGCTTGAATTGACCTCCGGAAAACTCAAATCTATCCAAATTAATTGTATAACTACATTAAAATTCGTCGGAAACAATTTCGGATAATAATACGTCGACTTAAAATTTATTCCAAAAAGTTAATAAAAGTCAACGCGGGACCCGCCCCTCGGAACTCGATAAAATTTTCATGAAATCTGGACACCCATTCTGATACGAGTTCAACCATACCAATTTTATTGAATTCCAATAATAACTCGACCTCCAAATCTTAAATTTTCGTTTTTGGAAGATTTTACAAAAATCTTGATTTCGTCCATTAAAATCCTAATTAAACGATGAACATAATCATAGATTCATGAAATATAAACACTTTAGGATATAGAACACTTACCCTTAGTGAAAATCGCCTCAAACATCGCTTCAATCCGAGCTCCATAGCTCCAAATATGTCAAAAATGGCTGAAACCTCAAAATATAGCTACTGCCCGGGTATTTACTCTTCGCGATCAAGGAAAATGCTTCGCGATCGCGAAGCACAAAAATTTTCAGCCCCAAAATTGCTCTTCGCGATCGCGGTAAAACCAATCGCGATCGCGAAGAACAAACTCCCCCAACTCTTCCAGACAGCCTCTAGTATACTGGTCATAACCTTTTGTACAAAACTCCAAACTGCAAATGGTTTAACTTTCTAAAAACTATACACCAAGGACTATAAATTTTATTTGTTGCTCATCTCCCAATTCCTTATATATTTCTAGATATATGCTTCCAAAGTCAGCCCTATGCAACAGAGATTTCCAAACTCTTCCCAGACAGCTTACAATGTATCCATCATACCTTTTTTTACACATTTCCAAATGATAAATGGTTTACTTTTCTGAAAATTATACATCAAGGGCTATAACTTTCATTTTTGGATCATTAAATTCCTTATAGATTGCGAGATATAAGCTTTCAAATTTGGGTCAGTGCAACAAAGATTTGTTCTACGCGATCGCAAAAGAGCTTCCGCGATTGCGATTTACAAAGCCCCAAACTTCTGTTTTCAAAAGTTCGCGATCGCGATGCACACCTCTGTAGGCAGAAATCAGCAATTAAAAATGGCCTAGAAATGGTCCGAAACCACTCCGAAACTCACCCGAGCCCCTCGGTACCTTAACCAAATATACCAACAAGTCCTAAAACATCATACGAACTTAGTCGAAGACTCGAATCACATCAAACAACGCTAAAACTACGAATCACACCTCAATTCAAGCCTAATGATCTTTAAACTTTCAAATTCTATATCTTGTGCCGAAATACATCAAATCTATCCGGAATGACTTCAAATTTTGCACACAAGTCATAAATGACATAACGAAACTATTCTAATTTCCATAATCGAATTCCGACCTCGATATCAAAAAGTCAACCCCCCGGTCAAACTCCCCAAAAATTCAACTTTCGGTATTTCAAGCCTAATTCCACTACGGACCTCCAAATAATTTTCCGGACACGCTCCTAAGTCCAAAATCACCATACAGAGCTATTGACATCATCAAAATTCCATTCCGGAGTCATTTTCACACAGTTCCGACTACGGTAAAAATCCTAAGACTTAAGCTTCCGTTTTGGGGATCAAGTGTCCCAAATCACTCCAGATCATCCGGTAACTGAATTCAACCATGCACGCAAGTCAATACACATAATATGAAGCTGCTTAGGGCCTTATGCCGCCAGACGGGGCTTAAATTCTTAAAATGACAAGTCGGGTCATTACATTCTCCACCTCTTAAACAAACGTTCGTCCTCGAACGTGCTAATAATTATTTTGAGGTTACCGAATTGATGATTTTTACTTTTACACATACACTCACGGTTGGTCCCACGTTACTGCATTGGAGGTAAGTCCGGCAACACCATCTCATTTGAGATTATTTCTTTTATCCATATTTGTGAACCTTAAGATCAATTTCTTACACTCCAAACATTTTCAGAAAGTCCGATTTTTCATCAACGCACGGTATTAATCTCAACTGGCTGTAGCAACTCGTGCCTACGCACACATCAACTTTCTTGATAGTGTTGAAGTACTTCAAAAAAATTTCGGGATGTTACATTCTTCCCCGCTTAGGATCATTCGCCCTCAAACACATAATATAATTTTGTCTTTTCTTTGCACGTCTCAATCTCCTAAATTTTTTTTTCTAACTCTCAAATGTTTCAGAAATTTCGGCAGAGTCTCCCCTGTAATTTGGCCTAACCACCTGCCAGAGTAATACCAAAATAACTCCTAACAACACATCCACAATGTATATATCAATAACACAATCTCAGCATTACAAGCACTGCATTATCATAATGATATCAGGACATAAAGCACATCATATGTATGCTCATCACCACATCTCTGGTCTTAAAAGTTGTTCATAATTAATTCCAGCATCATCAATTAATCTCATATTAACCACCACCTCATTTCGAATTTTCACAACAGTGACAACAGAATGTGAGGCATGAAGACCTCATGATTGCTTACTCGGATTAATGAGTTATATTTAATGCCACCTGGGCACTCATCTCATAGGTTAAAACTCAATGTTTACAACACGAAAATGGCTGTATATGAACAGAAAAATATATAAGAGTTATCAAATAAGCCTAACAAGCATGACTCCCTATTAATATTATTGTACAAATTAATTTCAGAAAGGGAAAAATTTTAAACTCATAAATATTTCACCACAAGAACCTCGTCCTTACATAACTTCCACCGCGACTTGCAGCCCGGTTTAAATATTTCACATCATATAAAAATACGAGAATCTCATCCTCAACTCCGAATCACAAGTATGTTGCACATTGTGCCAACTGAAATTTTAAATTTCCTTTCTTTCTTCTTTTCAATATATTTCATAATCAATTTTCACTACATATAATGAACCCTCATACCGGTAGAGCATATAATTCATAAAAATTGAAATCAATTATTTCAAAACACATTAAACTCGTTGTAATGAATAATAAAAATTACTTTTGGGCTTATAGCCCTCAATGGTGTACCAAAAATAAAATGACATACACGGGCTCACATCTTTAAATCTCCCCACAGGTATAAACATATAAGTGGGTCAAAAATTTACGAAGCTCACCCATAAGTGGAGCATAATAAAAGGACTCACCTCAATATTCAGAACTGAATCAAATTAAGGAAAATATCCTTTTATAATAAAAAACAAATTAGGATCGTACGTGTAACGACACCATCTGGTGTATTGGCCTCAGCCAAATCATAATGATTAAATCAATGGGTCAGGCCTCCACCTCTTAGGCGCCCACTACCCGCCTGTCCTCCACCTCTAGCTGACTGTGCACGTGGAGTATTAACTAGAATAAAGCTTGTAGTTGGAGTGTTCTGATGAAATCCATCCCTCCCAAGTCTGGGACAATCTCTCATGATATGCCTAGTATCACCACACTCATAACAACCCTTCTGAGGTCGCGGCTGTTCGTACTGAGTCTGTGTCGAATAACTAGAATAACCACTGTAAGAATCTCGTGTCGGTGGTGCACTATAAACTGGAGCACCCCGAATAATCTGATGTGCGGACTAATCTGATAGGCTGCTCGAGCCTCCGCTATAATGGGTTCTAGCTTAAGAATAAAATCCACTGAACCCTTCAGATTTTTAAG